CTTCCTTCCTTCCTTCCTTCCTTCCTTCCTTCCTTCCTTCCTTCCTTCCTTTCTTTCTTCCTTTCTTCCTTCTTGAAAGTGAATGTATAAAGCCTTTCCAATGTATAACTGTTGGAAAACTCTCACCACTAAAGTTTTCTTTTTTAAAGTTCCACATATTCTCCATTTTTGCCTTCTTATATATTTTCAACACTATTCTGTGCACTTTAAAAACTTAACATACATGCAGTGTGACTTTTCGCTTATGCTGGGTTCTGAGACTCAACTTCTTAAAAGCATCCTAATGGCATCTTGTGACTTCTCTAAGTAGACATAAGTCTTTCAACCTCCACACCTACTTTTTTCTGTTTTAATCATTATTGCTATGTGTCTTCTTGTTTGTCCTTTACAAGCGCTCTTAAGGATGGAGGGAGTCTACGACCCTGTTGATGACTGTAACTCTATTTGACTTTTGAGTTGTCTTCTTCATATCTTCTTATATAGTTCATATTGACGGCTGAAACTTGACCACACTCTATCGCTGATTGTACGGTTTTCATCCGGACACTGTACACTGCTTGATAACTTGTGCTCCTCTTAACGCTACTCTGCTCTGGGCTGGAGAATGAAATCCTTAAGTCACCAGGACTTGCTGTCGCAGTGGCTTGACACCTGGGCCACCAAAGAACTCGATCTCCATCTTTTAGGAACACCTCTGCTGCACCTTGGAAAGCCAACCTTGAGTGCCCGTGGCACTTATGCCCAGCTTTGCTTTGAAAGATATCTGTCTTGGTTTTTTTATTCTTTTTTCTCCTTCTTCTTCTTTTTTTTTTTTTTAAACACACATAGTCAATAGATCCAGTCTGCCCTCAAGGCCTTGCTGGGTTTTCTTTGTCATTCAATCACTTTTATTAAAAATGGCTGCAGCTGTAAGAACTCTTACCTGATACATTTGCAACTATGGTCTCATTTATCAGCCTGGCCTCTGACGCTCAGCTGTCAGACTCTAATGCAAAGGTGGATGACGACCGCCTTTGCATGGGCGGGCTTAGTGGTGAGAAACCGATATCAGAAAAATGCCTTCAAGTATACTAATTTATTAATAAATATTAGGTGTTTGTTACTTGCGTGGTTTTAGTGTATTTACTGCTTAACTTTCCTCTTTGCCTTTGCCCAGGTTCTAGCCCTGTACATCTCTTGGGGAAGGATGTGTGTTCTGACATCCTTCCAATCTGTAAATTATGTATATTAGCAAAAGTCACTTTTGGAGACGTACAGTGTACAAGGCTCTGATAAGAATTGCCAAGCCTTGCCTAGCCTTTTGAGTTAAACCTTAGGCTTTTATTTCCTCCAGGTAATTTGCTATCTGTAGCATGATCTGTACACATCCACAGGCTCCTAGCCAAAACCTCAGCGTCCCTGACAGACTCTCTCAGAGGGTTTTCTCAGCAGTGAGACGGGTGTGGTCTTGTGTTGGTGGGATATCTCAAGCTCACTGCAGGTTTCCCTTAGCTTGCGCCCCACCTCTACAGAACTGCAATGACCGAACACTAGCAATTTGAACTTCCTGTTTTGGTGAGAACCTAGAAGTGGATACTGTGTGCACTGTGACATCCATGTCAGAAACTAGGGAGTGGCTTCCCGTTTCACTCATCTCCATGTGGCAGCTTTCAAGAAGAACATCCCGGTTTCTCTTCCCTCTTGTTGGTGGAAGATAAGAACTCTGAGGCCAGACAGTGGTGGTCCATGCCTTTAATCCATTGGAAGAGAGAGGCAGGAGGATCTTTGTGTTTGAGGCCAGCCTGGGAGTTTCAGGACATCCAGGGCTACTCCATCTAAAAAAAAGAATGAATTATGTCACATACACACACACACACACACACACACACACACACACACACAGCAAGAAGAATAAACAAGAATGGATCAGTAATGATGGAGGAGGAAACAGATTTTGTCAGGTTTTGCATTGTGTCAGATTTATGATTGAGACATATGATTGAGACATTCATTAATTACTAGTATGTTAAGTTTATAGTTTATTAGTAATTTGAGAATGTTTTTATTAATAACCCAAATTTGTGGTTTTATATTTTATAAAGTATAAAATACAAAGTTTTATTATTGTATTGAATCTTTATATTTGTCTTATAAACCAGGTTCCTATTATTGTGCCCATTTTACAGATGAAGATGGACTTGTAAAGCTACGTATATGAGACAGTTTCTTATCACTAGGACAGAGTACCTGAAAGGGAAAAAAAATCTCTTTAAGGGAGGAAAATTTTATCTTCACTTGTGGTTTCCGAGGTTTTAAGTCCATGGTCAGCTGGCTCTGTTGCCTTTGGTTGATAGTAAGGCAGAAACATGGTGAGAAGACATGACAGTGGAAGGTTGGTTACCTCCTAACGTTCAGCAAGCAGAGATACAAGAAGAGTCTTGGGACAGGATAACTCTTCAGTAGCACAGTCCAGTGACCTTCTTCTAGCCAGGACCACCTACTTTATAGTCTATTCAGCCATGAACTCATCCATGGCCAAATATACCACCAGTTGAAGCCCAACCCTCCAATAGATGAGCCTTTGTGGGGGACACTTAATATCCAAAGCATAAAACCAAGGAATGTGTTTAAGACCTCACTGAGAAGTTTAAAAAGGTTAGGCTGGAATCCATGGTGTGTATATTTTGGGGAGAAAGGTGATTAAGTGAGTGGCTGTAATTTAAGACTGTTCACTCTCTTTAAGACCATTGCCAGCTATAATACTGGGCAGAACCATGGCAGTGAAAGTCATCTATCTGGTTCATGAGTAAAGTTCAAATGCAAGTTAATGTAAGTGGTGCAAACAGGCACTCGGAATAAACATAAGCATTATATTCTGATGACACGATGTATAGCTTTTCTAGAAGACAATGAACCATCAGCTACTACCTGGAACCCAGCACTCAGTTGCAGGCTGGAAGACCAAGGCCTTAGGGTCAGCCTGGGGCGAGAGCTCAGTCAGTAAACCATTTGCCACACAAGCCTGAGGACTTACTTGAGTTTCTGTACCCAGCACAGTAAAGTACCACGTGGAGCACGCCTACAATCTCAGTGTTGGGCAGACAGCGACAGGAGGATCCCTGGGGCTTGCTGGCTGGCCAGCCTAGCTGAATTGACAAGCACCAGGTTCAGCCAAAGCACTCCATCTCAAAAACTAAGGTGTAAAATGGTTGAAGAAGTCATCCAATATCCAACTGCAGCCTCTGCAAAGAGGAGGAGGGAGAAGGGGAGGAGGAGGGGGGGGAAGGAGGGGGGGGGGGGGGGGGGAGGAGGAGTTCAAAGATAATTTGGGCTACATAGTAAGACCCTGTCTCAAAACAGCAGTATAGCTATTGGGGTTAGAGCTCATTTGGTAGAGTGGTTGCCTGATACATGTGAAGCCTTGAGGTGTGATCAACAGCACTGCAGAAACTGGGTGTGCCATTGCACATCTCCAAATCCTGTCACTCCAGAGGTGAAGGCAGTAAGGATAAGAAGTTCAAAGTCATCTTAGGCTATACAGCAAGTTGGAGACCAGCCTGGGACACACGAGACGCTGTAAAGAACAAACCAAAACAACTGAAACAAAACAAAAATAACGTAAAATACTAAACAATGCAACTCTCTGATCAAAGCTAGTGATACCACCATTTGTACCACAGAAAGGTCTCTGGTTTGGGCTTCTTCCTCTGAGAAGTAGAGACAGCTGAACGGGAAGGCTGCCAGTGTGAGGGTGGAGGACAGAGGAGGGTAACCAGAAGAATAAGATGTAGAAGCAACTGTTGGTAGATTCAAGCCAGAAGAATGTCATGCAGGCAGGAGAAGGGCTGTTCAGAAATTTGAAAGACTAAGGAAGAGACTGATTTGGAGTTTGTGACCCCTGGGAAAAGACCACAAACTCAATCCAATTATAATGAAAAGATTTGTTGATCAGCTGCTAGCAGGATGAATAATCTCTGAGCCAACTCTGAGATTGCCGTGCAGAAGGGATATGGGGAAGGACTTTAAAAGGGGAAAACCACACAAAGACCTTCAATATCTATGCAAGCAAGGAAAAACTGTTCAGTTCTGCCAAATTAAGTGGTTGAGGCAACTCAAAACAATCTTGGGGTATCTGCGTAAGCAAGTTACAGAAACAAGAAAAAAAAGTTAGTCATAACAAGTGTATGTGGTATGGGGGGGGGGATGGGAACAGCCACTGAGTCAGGGTTACTGGGAATTTATCTTCCAGGGACTGGAGTTAGAGACGAATGACTAGTGGGTATGGAAATGGATGCCTAGCACAAAAACAGAGCTTCTTTAACCTTAACAAGACTATTTCGTTTTCTTCAGAGAGTGATATAGTTCCTATGGGCTGCTTTAGGCAGAACTCAATTAGATAGGGCTGGTTTTCAAGGACAGATTGCTTCAAGGAGAGGAGCTGGGCAGGCATGTGGTTCTCCAACTTCCATGTAAATAAGTCACCCTGGAGTGAGCAGCCTGCTCTCTTTTAAAAGGCAGATTCCCACAATCTGATTGGAGAGGTTTGTGGTGAAATTCAAAATGAAGCCCTTGCAGGTTTTTGGACCACACTTAGAAAACTCTGTTTAGAGAATTTCCAGTGGGGGCAAAAACACCTAAGGAGAGCTGGTTAGACCTGCATTCTCTGAGGCCTCCTGTCTGCCCTTCTAATGTGCAAATGAGACACCTGGAGGTCCTGCTCAAAGACAGACTCTCCGGTTTTCTGGGGAGAGGGCAGCCAGCATCCTGCATTTCTGCCTAGCTCTTGGGTAATAGGGACACTGCTGTTTTTTTGGTTTGGTTGTGTTTGTCCCCTTTGAAACTGGGTAGCCTGAGATGATGATGCCTTCCTTTCAGAAAAGGGGCAAAACAAACATGGGAGTTGATTACACCCATTTTACAAGAGGGAAGGAAACAAATTTTGATGAACAGAAGAAACACCCAGAACCAAGCAAATCTGGTTAAAACATGTAACTGGCTGGGGCTG